CCCGTGGCGTGGTATACTCTCTCTACTACGTCATATTTTCGTACAAAGTTATTAAGATAGTGCCGTACCGTACACATTCAAACAAAGAGGACCACGGTGCTTGGAGGTGCATGGCTATCGCCCCACTGTTTTTAATACCTAGACCTTCGCCCATACCCCCGTACAAATTACTTAATCTCTCAGTCTCCGTCAGATTCGTCCCCCCCGTCCCCCTCGTCCCCCTCGTCCCCCTCTTCCCCCTCGTCCCCCCCTTTCCCAAACCCATCCCAGAGCGCCGTAAGCCCGCCAACAGCCCAAGAAATATTCGAAGCAGCCATGACCATAGATGCAGATCCAGTAGCCCCGATACTCTGACAAAAGGAAAACAGGCTGCCCTTCGCGACAACCCCTAAACTGGACTGCCATGCCGCCGCTGCGCTCCCTACACCCCCACCACCAGGAAGTCAGCAGACGTAAGTAAATAAGAAACCCTCCATCCATCAGACCTCGGAGCCGAATCTAGGGAGAACAAACCAGCACCAACTCCAGCCCTGGTAAACCCCAAAACCCCCAAGAATGGGGGTATTACCAACCCCGCGACTGTTAACCCAACATTCAGAGCGAGCAGGTACGGATGCTCCTTTGCATACCTGACCGCATAGTCCTTGACCATGGCCGCGATGTTCCTGTCTGCCCCCGGGCTTTCCACCGCCGGGAATGCGTTCAACAAGTGGTACATTGAATACCACAATTCTATGTCGGAGACTTCTTCCTCAGGGGAAAGCGCTTTGACAAGCACATCAGTGCAAAGGCTGAGTACATCTCCGCTGAGGTCAAGCTGACCCGGCCATTCCGCAGCAAAGAGTAATATACGCTTTCCAACAGTTGTGCTAGAGCCAACTGGGTGCTTTAGTTCCCCACTAACCTCCGTGAGGGCCATTTGGCAGAGGAAAACATGGAAGAGCTCGTGAGAACCCGAACCAGTTGTTCGCGATCTCACATGTGTGAGGTTAGGGGGCCACTCGAGACTCTCCCCCTTACCAGAGTCCACGAGCACCGAGCGCAGGGTCGCCGGGTTTTCTAGCACTTTTTCGATTTCAAGCGAAGATGTTTCAAGGAAAAATCGACGATATGTGCGTCGGAAGTCCTGGAGGGGAGTCTCCCGGATCAATTGGAGGTCTAGCTCTGAGAAGTGCAAAGCGTTTAGTAGATGGTAAACGGAATACCAGAGCTCCCTGTCTGAGACATCGGCCTCGGGGATGAGAGCTTTGAGCAGCGCATCGGCGCAGAGATCCAGCACCTTGTCATTAAGAACAAGCTGGTTCGGCCACTCATTGACAAGGAGCATAATTCGCTGTTTGGTGCACGTTTGGGAACCCATAGGATGCCGTAGCTCCCTGCTAGCATCAGTGAGTGCCAATCGGCTGAGAAAGACATGGAAGAGCTCCCGGCAAGCTGGAGCTGAGTAGTGGTATCTTTAGCGGCCAGAAAACGAGCAGCATGCGGAAGTGTTGGGTATAGCTTACGTTCGTGTACTGTGGCGTTTTTGAGCATTGACTTGAGAATCTCGGGGTTTTCTATCACTCTTTCAATCGTAGTTTCTGTCTTTTCAAGGAAGAACAGACGATAATTGCTGCGGAAGTCCCGTAGGGGGTTCCCCCCAATCACTCCTAGTTCTGACCCTGAGAAGTAAAATGAATCCAACAGCTTGTACATGCAATACCAGAATTCCTTGTCCGAACCTGGAGTAAGAGCTTTAAGTAATGCATCCTTACAGAGAGCGAGTGTAATACCGTTGGAGGCAAGCTGGTGGGGCCATTCCTCAGCAAAAAGTAGTATCCGTTGTCGGATGCTTGTACAACTTCTAATTGGGTGCCGAAGCTCTGCGCTAGCCCCGTTGAGTGCTAATTCTTGGAGGAAGATGGAGAACATTCTGTTGAATTCTGAAACCCCATGATACTTATCATCTATAGAACATCTTGAATATGGGTGGACTAATTGCAACTCACGGCCTTCCTGGATAGCTTCTCCGAGTAGCAAGCCTAAGGTTTCTGTGTTCCCATGTAGCTTCATCGCACGCCCCGCAGTTCTCAAGAAAAACTTGGGATAGGAAGCCCGGAATTGCTGACGGTAGGTAACCAGGAAGTTCCGGAGGGAGTTTTCTTCGATTACACGGAGATCTGAATCCATAAAGTGCAAGGTTCTCAATAGGCTGTACACAGAACACCACAAATCTGCGTCGGGCACATCAGTATCCGGAGAAAGGGCTTTAACCAATGCGTCTTTGCAAAGACCCAATACATTGCTGTTCATGTCAAGCTGTCTTGGCCATTCCTCAGTAAAGAGTAATATCCGGTGTTGAGTACTTCTATCTGAAGAGTCTGGGTACCGCAGCTCCTGAGCGGCTGTAGAGGACGCTAGCGAGTCGAGGAGTATGCGCAAGACTGAGCGGTAGTCTGAGGCTTCTGTGTTTGTCAGACACCCTAGAACCCATCAATACCAGAAAGGTCAATTTCAACCTACCTTCCCCTACAGCAGCGCTCTTGAGCATCAAGTTCAGGATCTCGGGTTTTTGTTGGACATCTTTGGCCTCGAGGCCCGTGCTTGAGATGAATATTTGGCGGTAGCTTCCCCGCAGGCTCCGGATTGAGTGCCTCCTGATTATCTGGAGGTCTTCTATTGATAAGTTCATCATTCTTGAGCTTCTCTTTCGTTTACGGAAGAACCTGAAGGGGCATGTATGAAAAGTGGGTTATCAAAAAGTTGTCGCCATCCGCGTCTCCGCGAGCTGGTGGCCGCTAATGGGGTTCTTATCCCCCCTCGGGGGGTTGCCTTTCTCCTTAGGCCTCCCACTTTTCCGGTGCAACAACAAAAGTTGTCATTGGTTGGAGCTATTACGGTATATCAAAAGCGATTTACTAGGATAACCGCAGACAGAACTACTTAGGTAATAAGACCCCGCACAGGAGCGCTTAAGGACATCGTGCATGTTACAAGAGGCTGCGGTTTGAGTTCCCGAGGCCTCGTTTTAGAGGTGCCGACTCAAAAGTTACCCCACCCCCAAGTATTCTCCAATCGATCAGCAGAGGCAATCCCGACCAGTATGATATTATTAATCAGCATGCTAAGAATGCCCGTGCTCCAAACCCATTCTCCAGGCTTCATACATTGGCTTTCCTCCAACTCGCTAGGCGTAGTACTGCACAACCCACCCCCCCCGGCTAGCTGTGCCGGGTGAGGGGTCCATATCAGGGTCGTTCTCCTAAGCACTTTTCCGCTCCAAATCCAGAGCTACACTTATTCAAGCACCTACCATTATGCCCTCGACCTGTCTCTCTATTACCCAGTTCATTCTTTCTTACCTAACTTAATCCTCCGCCCCAGAATTCTACTGGTAGTCAAAGGGCGAGAAGATATCTAGACGATATTGCAAGTGAACAATCATAGCTTGAGTGCAACTACTTGGTACGCTCACAAATAGTGCCCGGGATCCTGGTCTACTGGTTGGCCGTGAAGGGAGACCCGATTTCTCAATAATTACCCCAACGGGTGCTTCACACAAAGGCCCCAGTTAAGGATTTCTAATACTCTGGTAAGGTCTTGTGCCAAGTAGGAAGCTCGAGTATTGTTGAAGGCATTTTGGGCAGTAGCTCTTCTACCCGAGGGGGGTGATGCTGCATACGGGAAAACCGACCGTGTTTTACCAAGGGGGACGGGACCTGCTGCTCTTTCATCCCTTCTAAATCATTCATGAACTTCCTGAGCACTCGAATTGTACGCTCCCATTCAAGGTTTAACTTGAGCCATAACCCCCCCCCTAATTCTTACAAGTCAATAGCAAAACAAACCTAGTCTCACCTCAGAGACCATATCCCGCACCCCACCAACTTCAAAAACAGACTCGGCCATTCAACCAAGCCAATTTCCCATCAGAAAACTGGTGGGTACCCAGATCTTGGCGCCCGTTCTGGTACCTAGTTTGTTAGGCTACAGCGGTGCCATCACAGAAGCGGCTATTCGTGCTCGATCTAACACCCATGAGCGGATGCGTAGCTTGATTGCGTTGACCCCCACACAAGCCCAATCATGAAAGAAAAGTTAGTGAATAAGGCCCGGTTATGAGGTCACCGGGCGAGGTACGGTACCTCCGTGTCCCCAGCGTACTCGAGTATTTGGTTGGCACGGCATACCATACCAATCGCAAACTCGATCATAGCGAAGGATCAGGATAATGGGGAGTTGAAACCCGATACCGGCATGGGCGGATACGAGTACGGTAGTGGGGTTCGATATGTCCAGGCGCGCGCACTCCATAAGCCGAAACGGTACAAGTACTGACTGGACCACTGCCTACGGTAGTCCCCTCACTCAGCTGCGCCTCCCTGCAAGTATATACATGTATCCGCCAAGTCCGGCAGGGATCAAGGTTGTCCTCCCCCCATGGCGGCTCTCTTCCCCAGGCCCCCCGCAGATTTTCTTCCTGATCCATTCCTGTTGTACTCTATGGAGACAGACCAGAAAAAACTCCCGTTCGGCTCCTGCCTAAATGCCTCCCTCCCTCTCTCCTTCTCTTTCCACAATTCCTATTAGATATCGCATGCAAACCACTTCTAACTTTATTATGCACCCTTTCCACCTTCTATATCCTTCCCGAGCAGTGACCGGAACGGTAGAAGGGGTGTCCCTGTGCTCAGATACCTTCCCGGGAGGGTCCGGTTACTACTGCTTTTCTGAGTGTCTGTGCCGTATCGGCCAGGGAAGGGAGGATTGGTGGGCCGGGGTTTACCAGTGCCTTGATCAGGAGCAGCAGGTTCGTGGGGTGCGGATGGGACGATAGCGGTATCACAGTGTGATACGATAGCGATAATTATAATCCAGGGCTTCCTTAGTTTTGTTTTCCCGGGCTCGGTTACTGGGCGGTTGTATATACCGGTAGTCTACCGGTATGCTTGGGGGGATAGGCTATTCAAATTAAAAGCCTGGGGAGAAATTAAATTATTTAATTGTCTGGCCTGGGCGCACGGTGGCCATACGAACTTGCGAAGGAGGCGAGTAGCCAGCCCCCAGTAGTAGTTGCGGAAACCTTATCGTCCATCCATTGGCGCTGGAATTTGGCGCACGCGGGGGGCCACCACACAACGGGCCATTTCAACCGCGAATCGCCAAGGGAGAGGAGAGGATCTCGTATACGGAGTGGAAAACTTGTCGAAAACATTGTGTAAAGGCGCAATTGAGGGGTGTGCAGTTCACTCACAAACCTGACCGTCGGTCGTGCATTTTACACCAAATATGGTGCTTGTCGTAGGTTCACGGCTCGACCGGTTGTCCGACCGCAGCTATCGTTGGCCCGGTGCAGCAGCTATCGTGGCGTGGGTGTCATGGTTTGACCTACCATATAAATTACAGGTGCCTTGATTGGGCTTCAGAGCTCTTCTGCACTGTACAGGTGATCCCATAGCATGAGATTCTCAGGAATATCGGTAGAGTGAGTCGGAAAATATCGATCCCTAGATTCCTGGCTACTTGAATCTGTAATTGGGCGGGGACCCACGACAGCTGATATTGTGAATTCGAATTGCTCAGGCTTCGTTTCTTTTCCGCCCCAGTGTGGCTTTGCCGTATTGCGGCCGTACCGTACAAACGACCAACGATGAGTTATCTCCAACTAGGTATACTCGTATGCCATCACAACCATAACGCCCAGACATATCCCATCACAGAATGTCACTCTATACTTTATCCCCTTCTGCGACTTTTCCTGCACACAAGCAATCTTACACTCGCCACCACGCCCATAACTCCCGACACGCGCAAAAGGGAGAGCTTGGCTTCACTACACCCCGTTCCCCAATCTAAAAGAGAAAAAGAAAGAGAAAAAAATGAAAGGTACACACATCCCTGGCTCACTGATACATCTACAAAACCAGCCCCACCGGATCTTTCTCCAAAAAACTCTTCAACTTCTCCAAGAATAATCTCCCTCGCTCTTCCTCCTCCGCACTCTTGACAGTGAGGCTAATCACATTCGGACCCGTGGCCGCAATGCCCAGTGTTCGCTTGACGGCAGGGGTAGTAGCGGATGCTGCGCCGGTTAGCATATCTAGGATATCTGCGCTTGCTGTAGGAGAGCGCGGGGAAGGTAGGGGCAAGGCGGTGATTGCCGGTTGGAATTTAGCGGGCCGGGAAGAGGCCATGGAAGGGAGGTTGAGGAGCTCGTCCAAGATGTCGGATGCGGACGCCACAGGTGGGAGGGAGTGGTTAGCTCTTGTGGTCGCTTTGCTAATGAAGGTGGAGAGGGGGAGATGAATGCCCAGGGCTGCTGTTGGGCTTGTTAATGCTTTTCCATTTTGTTACGTGATGGGAGGGCGGAAACTACCTTGGAGTTTATTCTGAGCCTTGAGGACTTCACCAAATGATACCTCTAGCTTCAATTCCCTTTCTCTGTCGACGTCTAACTTCTCTGTTGCTTTTTTGGCACTCTCTCCCACATCCTTCTTCGGAGGTGCAATCTTAATATTACTCAGGTCAAGCTTCTGCAATTTGTGAATTCGCTCTTCAAGTTCCCTCGGATGGGCTTTATTAATCCTTCCTAGATGAGCTAATATATCCCCCTTTAGCAACCGCCCCTTCGGACCCGTAGTTGTGATGGCAGAGGCATCGCCTTCGGAAATCCTATGCTCCCTAATCAAGTGCGCAACACCTGGCGAGTGGGTATACACTTTCCCGGTCATAGCAGTATCCGGAGCACTCCTAACTGAGCTCTCCACGACACTCGGTCCATGCTCCCTCCTAGGAGACCCGGTATCCTTCCTAGGATTCTCCTCATCAACGTTTTCTCCGCTCGCCGGAGTGCCGCTACCACTCTTGGAATCCTTCTCCGGTGGCACTTCCAAACCCGCGAGATCGTCACCCGGCTCCGCCAATACTGCAATTCGAGAGCCAACCTGAACTGCTTTAGCACTCGCTTTGACCATTATCTTTGCGAGGACGCCATCGTCGGGGGCTTCGACATCCATCTGGGCCTTGTCGGTTTCGATCTCCAGTAAGACGTCTCCAGCTGAGAAGGTGTCCCCTTCTTTCAGCTTCCAACTGCTGATTGTGCCTTCGGTCATTGTAGGGCTTAGAGCTGGCATGAGAAAGTTTGAGGCTGCATTACGACGGGCGGTTGTTGTGAGGCCTAGTTATGCCAATTAGTTTGTTGTTAGCCATGGGTAGACAATTTTTGTAAGTCGGATAGCAGGAGGGGATAGTGGCAGGGAATACCTCGTCTAAGAGCATGTTGCCGTAATTGTGGCGAGAGGCGGGAGAACAGACGGTGGATTGGTGATGCCATGTGGGGTTCGTAGGTGGGAGAGAGATGGAGGGGCTGTGTACAGTATGTGGGTTAGAAGGGAGATGGAAGGTATCTCGGGGAAGTTGGGTTGAAAGGTTAATTTCCCAACGAAATCCCGCGAAAAGCATGGACCAGGGTGAACAGCAGCACGTGACTGATTAACCGGCCCCGATACTGCGCCCAATTTATAACGATAAGACCACCGAATGATAATTTTAAGTAAAGGGATTTGAGTCCTTTTCTACCTAGTGCTATAGGACAAGACAAATGCATAATTAATTGTGCTCGAGTTCGGTATTCTGGAAAAGAGCATCGCCTCCGACTCCTTATCTACACAAACCCCAGTGGCGCATCTACATCCGCACTACATTCCTCGCCTTGAAAATTCTATCCAATCCTCTCCTCTCCCATACCCACCCATCCCTGTGAATCCTATAACTTCCCATCCCTTCCACCTTCACCAAGACAAACACGCTTGTAGAAATACCGCTCACCGCTCTCGCGAGGACTTTTGCCGGGTTAATCTTACTCCAAACCTTCTGCCACCCTGTACACTCATCCTCGGCAACGCCGGGCGCCGCTACGGGCCTTATGGTCGTGTGAATAGGCTCCTCCAGAGTCACCATGTTAGGGGAAGCCACACGGAGCTTTTTCATGGGAAGTGTGGGTAGAATTGGACGGCGGTGGAGTGTCAGTGATATGCTTGCTGGCCGGGTGCCAGTGGCTGGTATGGGATGGGCATAGATGGCTTGTATCAAACTACCATATCATTTCCGCATTAGTGACGTTCCCAGTATCCGGAGGGGAATCGAGATACCGGGTAGGATAATACGCTACAGCCACAGCCATCACGGTCATGATAGTGACGCTCCCCCAGGTAACTTTAATTACCCAAGCGGGTAATCCGGGTCCTGAATTCGCAATGTTTGTACGGTAGGTGTAGTACGACCACGCGAGCATGGCGCTCGAGAGGCCATAACAACTCCGGAGAAAGCTGCGGTTGTGACAGGCGTAGAGGAGGATGGCCGGATGGTCGGAGTTTCCCAGTGATTCTGCAAGGGAAAAGTATTTGCCAGTCTGGGGTAGCGGGGACGTAGTTTTTATGATTTTTTCTGGGGCTCGCTTCTTTAGTTTTTTGGCGTTAGTACTGGCGTTGCGGATTATAGAGGAGGGGTTCCATGTAAAGACGCGGGGAGCGCTTGGGCGGAGGAATGGCCTTAAGAGAAATCGTTGTATTGGAGGCATTGCTCGTGAATACAAGTAAACCGGCATTGAAGAGCAGAAACAGAGCTCGCGAAACGGAACAGTGGGGGATTTCATGAGGCTCAGCAGGTGTATGCTCCATGCCGGCAGCCGGAGCCCCACAGAAACCAGACTTCTGCCCCCTTGTCATATGACTGATACTGGCACAGTTTCGCTTCAACCACCCCCCTCCCCGCCTCTGCGAATCCCATAGTACGCTAGCAAGGAAACGGCTGGCCAGCCAAGTTGACGTCAGGTTTCTAAACGCCGGTCGCGTCTCCATGGGATAAGCGATGGATCGGGCCCTTCGCTCTCTTTCAAACGCCTCATCCGCGAACCGCACCCCCGGAGAAGCCACAAACAACCAATCAACCTAGACTAACCATGTCCGTGTCCAGCCTTCTCAACATTCGCCCTTCCCGACCATCAACATCAGCCACTCCCTCATCTTCATCCAGAACAATGTCCGAGCAAATCTCGCGCGTCGCTATACCAGCTTACGAAACGCCGTTGCTGCCTCTCACAGCTAGGGAGATTCAGAACCTCACCTCGCTAATTAATGCACGCTCTGGTATCACTAAGGTCTCAGATACTATCGCTTCTGCCATCACCGTCCTGGGGAACGCAACTCTCGAGTTATATCCCGACCCTGAGGAGGAGAATGAGGAAAAGGAGAAGGCTATGGCGGATATGGAGAAACTAGCCCGGGAGTTGGTGGACGAGAACATGCGTGCACTGGATATGAAGGGGGCTTTGGAATCTATTGTCAACTTGCAGAGGGAAGCTTTACGGAGGGGAGATGAGCCGCAAGAAACCGGTGAGGAGCAGGGTCTGTCCGGCCAATACGAGAGCGCCCTTGCAGCGAAGAAGAGACGCTGGGATTCTATGAGTAATGCTGACAAGTATACCTTAATTCGTACCCTAATTTCTATTGTATCATGTGCTGACTATGTTCGCAGATACACGAATTCCCCAGAGTACCTCGACTTCCGCCGCTCGTACTGGGAAGCTCGTAACCCGGAAGTTCCCTTACCACCAACAAGAACCTGGTTCCCTTCCGGCACCTCTGGCACTCAGGACGACGACGAATCCGACATCGAAATCGCCCAGGAAAGACAGAGTTACAAATGTCCTCTCACTCTCCGTCCGTTTGAGGATCCCGTCAGATCGACCATTTGCCCTCACGCCTTTGAAAAGGAAGCTATCGAAGATATGATCAAGCGCTCTGCCGTCAACGGCGTGCCTTGTCCGACGCCCGGTTGTGCGAAAATGCTCACCCTGAGAATATTGAAGAAGGATTCCGTCTTGAAGAGGAAGGTCGCTCGTGCGCTGGCGTTGGAGAAGAGGAAGCAGCAGATGCGGGAGGACGAGAGCGAAGATGAGGAGGCCAGTGAGGATGCCAGCGAGGAGGAGGAGGAAGCGCAACCTGGTCCTTCCTCGAGGAGAGGAAGGAATGAGGCTGGGTCCAGGAATATCAAGGCTGAGAAGGGAGCAAAGAAACTCAGAGGGAGCAGAAGGCCCGTCGCAGTAAGTAGCGAGGAGGAAGATGAAGAGGAAGAAGAAGAGGATGATGCAGATGCCATGGATGAGGATGAAGACTGATAATCCCCCAACATCTTTCACCGTTTTCACTTTTGTATCAAGCTAATAGCCCGTTACACTCCGTATACCCTTCAAACTCAATTATCTATAATTACGCTTCCATTCTTGGCTTCTTAATTGCCGTGTTTCTACGTCAACAGGAGAGCTCGTAACTAATAATTTGGGGTCGCCACAAGTATCAATGCGGCAAGCGAACTTGACAATGACGGGGTGAGGGATTTCGCGGTTCATTACTGTATGATAATTTATATGGTATGACACTCGTTACAACCATTGGGGGTAGACTATAATATTATTATGCGTCGTCCGCCTGACAAAAAAATGAAAGTTGGCGCCTCTGGGCTTAAGACCTATCGCAATAGAATTCATAACTATCCCCCATCTGTCTCACAGCTGTCCATCGGACGTGATGTAACCTACCACCCAAATAAACCCCCGGAAATTTTCCTAAGAGGGAAAACAAAGAACAGAGAGCAAAAACAAAGTAAAAATGCTGAAAGAGATGCCTGTCTGCTGATTTTTTTTGGTTTCCGGTACTGTGTGATTACTTGTTTTTGTCGATTTTGTTTGCTGAGACATCGTGACCGGGCTTGACGATTCCGATTGAGTTGTGAAACCGGCGGTGGGTTGTGGGCCCGGGTCAGTGTGTGCTGAGGCTTCGGGGGCTCTTGTAGGATGCTTGGGTATCATGCTGGTGGTCACGGCAATGATCCGGCTTACATGTTTTGGACTGCCCCTTCCAGGGGTGGGAAGCGGGCGTTTAAGCGGAGGCTCCTTGATTGGTGGCAGTGCTGGATCCTTTAGGTGCACGATGATCCTCCTTTCCCTCCTTCTGAGATTCACTTCTGTGATGTTAGCATCGTACCTGGGCCGGCACTCCTTTCGAGCTGTCTTATCCTCTTACCCTTGCCAGGTCACCCCCTATCGGAACTCGGTAGGAACGGAGATCGGTGATTCAAAGACAGTGTACTCGTACTGGTACAGTGGAAGCATATAATAAATCCACCCTAACCTTTATAAGCATCATTAGGAAATAAATACAGTCAGAAGCAAAAAAAAAAGAGAAAGAAAGAAAGAGGTGGAAGCAACAGAACGTAAAAAAATCTATAGATGGCCATTCCCTCTCTAGAAGCTTATAGACTTCGAACTACAATTTCCTAGAGGCTCGCCGATAACATTCACAAAGCAAAACCGGTGGTATCATAGCCCTAAACATTTATTTTTGGTGCCAAGTCGGTTTCTATAATATGATGTGTGATATTTTGCATGTGTAGAAGGGTATGATGGAAGTCCTCGTTGGCTTGTGAAGAACACGGTGGGGGAGCAGGGTTAGATATGGGACTGCGGACGTGTCGCTTTTTCCCTTACGCAATGATTTTTTCCTAGACACGCTATGATACTGTGCTCAGCAGATCCTCCCTCCTGATCCAGCGCGATTGTCCGAGCTTCTGGACCGACCCCTGACCTGGCAATGTTACGGTAGTCCGATAGTCGTGCGAGGTGTTACATGCTTAGCGTCCAATCCCGAAAGCAAAACCTGGGCTTCGTAGCACGATAGGAGCCGACAGTATTGTGGCCTCGGGATACTGCTCCCGGGGGCCCTAGTGCCCTTTAGGGAGATTGGCATGATAGGATATAATATAATATGAAGGTCCGGAACTCCACAATTGGCACAGAACTCAGTTTGAGGCAGCTTTATCAGATCTCCGGAATGATGTAATGCGTAATGTGCTAAAAAATATACAATACATTTCAGAAATAATTATGCGCTCCCACTGGAAAGTCTCTTGACCCCTACTTTTTATCGACAAATTGAGGGTTCTTGTGATCTCTGTAAGATTTATTGTAACCTCTGTACGAGTACTTTGCCTTTGGTTACTTTGGTACTGTACAGTACTGTACATTCGGGTGTGATACCCAGAATACGATGAAGCTATTGGCTATTACCAGAAAAGTAACCTTATGCAACTCCTCGGGTTTACTCGTTAGTGAAAAATAAGCTTTTTAACATTGAACACCACTGCTATGCTGGTATTGGCGCTGTATTTCTGTTTCCAGCTGCTCTCGTCAGAGCCCGCTCGTACTGCTTCCGAGTTACGTGCTGTTCTTACGGCTGCCCATCTCGCCTGCAGCCTTTCTACGGCACCAGCAGTACCCGAGCACATTCGATCCCGGTTGCTCCCTTCCAGACCCCCGCCCTCTTGCGCTACGAGCAGACTGTCAGGTGCTGTGGTTCGGGAGTGTGGTCAGTTCCGTGAATATCATACCATCAAATACTACGGTTCGCACGGCACCCTGTGATTATGGATATCCGCATGGGTCCTTGTACGTAAAAGTACCGGTACGAGTTCTCGTACGAGTATTCGTACATTACCGTATTCGTACATTGCCGTACTCGTACAGTACCGTACTCGTCCAGTCATAGTATGATGGTGGGGGCGGGTATGCTGATCGGCTGTATGCAACAGTAGAGGTTACATACCGGAACCGGTACTCGAGTTCGGGTACCGGTTCCGTAAAACCCCGGGAAATCCACAATCTCAACACACCTCGCCGGCCGATCTTATACTATGTCGGAGAAACGCTGCGATAATGCTTCTCGCGGGGGCCTGCGGAGATGGTCGGATTTCACGAGATCTTGAGGTGTTCGAATAGTCGAATTCGGATCTTGCTTGATAATGTTGTGCAATGTGCCAGGTATGATATACCGGTATTTTCTATCATCGGCCGTAAGGTGGTGCCCGAGTGTTTACCCTCGCGTCGGCAGAGTTCTTGCAAAGTCTGATGTATAGCGCTCGAGTACCGCCAAGTATCTCCAGCCTTCCGCTAGAAGGTTGCAGAAGCTATTTACTCGAGTGCTTGAAATTTACCAGGAAAAAAATCTCTCGAGGGAGAGCTGTTCCCGTCTTGCTATCTCGGGCTGGACTACCTGAGGTGTCACGGGAACTTTCCGGACACGAGTGTACGAGTACGAGTACCTGGTACAGGATGTTACTAGTGCGATACGGGTAACTTGAACCGGTAATGGATGGTGTGGGAATTTTGGGAGAGGTCGACGTTGGGGAAGGGAAGTGGGTAGAGTCTATGGACGAGGAAAAGGACTTGAAGTTAAGGCATAAGTACGGTAGGGTAATTAGACCACGGGATGATGAATCATCTTGTCAGGCCATGCTCGAGTCATCACGTGCGGGAGGGACACAACTAGGTCTCATAGCCACGGCTACAATCCTCTGAGTGAAAGGATCCAACCCAAGACTGTCTTAAAGGGCCCTCGTGAGCCAATAAATGGCCATATTAACGGTCGTGTTCGCTATTTACCAGAGTCTAAGGTACTTTGTGACATCTGGAAATTGTGCTGGGCAGCATTGCTGCTCGTGAAAGGTGGAGGAGTTGCAGTAGTGGGTGTGAGGGCCTTTATCAGATCATCTTGGCCAATGATGGTGCCGGAATGGCGGTTCCACCGAAAGCGGGTTAAAGAATAGAGCAGGATGGAACGCTGCCGGCAATTCAACGAGTAACGCACGGGCCTTTGGTATTTTCAGGGGAAGGGTTCAACATCATTCGTTGAATTGAACCGAACGGGGCGGGAGAGCCTAATAATTTTGAATACTTAATGCACTGTGCAATGTGCAAAGCTGGCGTCCATGTCTGCCTTCATTTCCATGGTAATTTTTTCTTTAAGGGGGGACGCGACATCCCGTTGAAGGATTACCGTACTCTTTCCCTCCTGTCCCCCCCCATCCATTTCTCGCTCTCAATGTGGATCTTCCGCTTCAGCTTGGAGGAGGGGCAACTGTCAAAAAAAAAGCGCGCCGAGCGGAACTCATCGGTTCCGAGAGTCACCACCTGTTTCGGTTTATTCACCAGTTTGTCCTCATCACTAATACAAGTACCGTACCCTGCCCCGGAAACTTGGAACATCACCCACTCGCCCGCCCTTCCTCGCCGCCCCCCCTTTCATGACAAGAAATTGTGACAATTCAATTCTCTTTTAAAGCTGACAACCTTCCCTCTCTCTCCTTGTCGGAGCGAGATCACTTTCACCCTCCATTCATCCGTTTGTTTGTTGTACTCTCGCTCTTGACGGCACTTTCGACGATGGATTACGTTCTCGGGGTCGCGGACAACCTCTTCTTCGATACCATCTATGCCACCCTTTTGCCCACGGGTTCATTCCCCGGTTTGGCCGGTGCCAATGATACTTTGAAGCGGGAGTATATGGATGCTCCGATTGTCAATGACCCTATCTCTCACTTTCTCGGGTTGGGACCATCTCCTCGGGCTTATGAATCCTTGCTCCGGAGAGGGGACTGGGAACGCCAGGCTTTCTCACTCTTTCTCATCACCTGGTGAGTCCCCCGTATTTGTTTGTTTTTTGGTTGAGAGCATTTACTGACCAGTCGGTGTACCGCAGGATCTTCGGTATCATTATTTACTTTGTTTTTTCCTCGCTGTCGTACTTTCTCATCTTCGATAAGGACACCTTCAAGCACCCCAAATTCCTCAAAAACCAGATTCGACAGGAGATGGCTCAGACTATGTGCTCATTGCCCGTCATGGCTGTTTTCACGGCCCCTTTTTTCTTGGCTGAGGTTCGTGGCTACTCGAAACTCTACGCGGATGTCGAGCTCTACGGAAAGTGGTACCTGTGGTTCCAGTTCCCGCTGTTTTTGATGTTTACCGATTTCTGGATTTACCTCATTCACCGCGGACTTCACCACAAGAGTATCTACAAGACTATCCACAAGCCCCATCACAAATGGATCATGCCTACTCCATTCGCTAGTCACGCTTTCCATCCGGTTGACGGGTTTTCTCAGAGTATCCCATATCATGTTTTCCCCTTTATTTTCCCGCTTCACAAGTTCGCCTACATTGGCCTTTTCATCTTCATCAACGTCTGGACTATCATGATCCGTGAGTTGCCCTTGCCCTCCCGCCGTCTCCACGCCCTGCGCTGACTATGTGCAGATGATGGAGAATATGTTGCAAACTCCCCAATTGTTAACGGTGCCGCGTGCCACACTATGCATCACTTGTACTTCAACTACAACTATGGCCAATACACCACTCTCTGGGATCGCCTTCTTGGCTCGTACCGCAAGCCCAACATGGAACTCTTCTACAAGGAGACTAAGATGGGCAAGGACGAGTGGGAGAAGCAGGTCAAGGAGATGGAAAAAGTTGTGAAAGAGGTTGAAGGAGATGACTCTTTTAGAGAGTATGCTGTGGATGCTTCTCACAAGAAGACTGAGTGATTGTGACATCATTGTTTTGAGTCTGGCGTACAGCGACGCACTGTGATTCTATTTTTATTTATTCGTCCTTTTAGGTTAGATGACGGCAAAACCAGTGGGAAGTCAAGGTATTATATCCTTGATTTTCTCAGTTTTGTTTCGACTTTTTGTTTAGCCATTGTTGGCGACTGATAGGGGTAATGACGATAAGCGGGTGTTTTTTCTTTTTCCTTTTTTGCCCTTGTTTTTATCTCTGGCAGGGTCTTTAGGTGCAGTGCATATAATACCGGTATCTTTTGTAATTAGTGCGGTGGATGAGTGTTTGACTGGCACATGGGTGGGCGATTGACAGTGTTTTTGGGCTCCTTTTTACCCGATACACTACGGCGTTTCATTTTTTCTGTGTTATACTTTAGGGAATGGCGAAATTGACGGACATTTGATGGATGAATCATTTTATCATCCCTCGTGCCCACTTTGGACCTCGTAATTTAATTATACAATGAACTTGTAAAGCTAAACAAAATTGTAAGCCTAACTCTGTCCCAATCCATTTCCGGTGATTCTCCTCTTCCAATCACCCCATCTTGATATCCCCATCCCCCTCTGGATCCCCACTCAGCAACCCCACCAGCTCCTTCGCCCTTTTCCACAACTCCCCCTCCATCTCTCGGCCGACAACGTCATTCCTAGAATTGAAAGCTCCGACATCGATCCCGCCTCCACTCCCCTTGCCCTCCTTCTCGCCTCCGTTTCCGGTCACAGGGGCCGGTATGTCAGCCTGCTCGAGCAACAGGATCTGACGACGCAGCCGGACCACGATGGATTGTAGCAGCGCGTGGTATTGGCCCGAGGCGCTGGCGAAGGCACTGGCGGAGGTCGGTGTCGAGGTTAAGGTTGTGATCGCGGTTGAGGCGGTGGAAAGGAGGGTTGAGATGTCCTATCATGTTAGGGGTGGGAAGGAAGGAATGGAGGAGGAAGGGGTACTTTGTCTATGGCGTTGAGCTCCAGGATGCGGGTTTTTGTGTTTGATTGGGGGGACATTTTGAGTTCTCGCTTTTGGGGATTCGTTTGGTTGGTGGGTGGCGGTAACGTGATAACTCAATCGCAAGCCGAATTCACGGGTTGGTTTTCATGCTCCCCCATTCTGCGAAAGCTTCCCTCTTTCACCTGCATTGGGTATCACCTTGTCGGCCGCTTACCTAACCATCCCTTCATCAGCCACCCGTTTACTAGGCCATTTATAAAGTATTCGGACGCCTTGGCATTATTAGCACCTGTCACAGTGCCAAGCGTCCGAATACTTTCTAGATGGCCAAGTAGCATCTCCGTTGTCGCGTTTAAGCAGAAACAAAATGAACGCGTCTCCACACTCTTCAACCTTTTTGCTCGGCTAACCACACACCACATCCTCTTCCTTCATACGCCCCTATTCCATATCCTTTCCCGTTCACTCATCCATTGATTATAAGAGCCCTCTATAGGAGCGAATTCCGCTCACCTAGTCGCGAAGATGGGGTATGCTACCCTCCCCTCCCTCCTCCTCAATTCCCTCCGGATAGCAATTTACTAACCCGACGAGATGGGGCGCTACGATACCAGGAAGCTCGTGCGCCTAGAGCTCTTCAATTTCAAGTCCTACAAGGGCCATCAAACCATCTACTTTGGCGACTCCTACTTCACATCCATCATTGGACCGAATGGTTCCGGAAAGTCAAACTGCATGGACGCGATATCGTTCGTCCTGGGGATCAAGTCTTCCCAGTTGCGTTCTGCGCATCTGAGGGATCTGATTTACCGCGGGCGCGTACTCAAGACTTCGGGCCCTAAGAAGCCGTCCACTGAAGAGGCGGAGGAGGAAGAGGAAGAAGAGGAAGAGGAAGGTAGAGCTACCCAGAGTGACCCTAAAACTGCCTGGGTTATGGCGGTTTATCTGAATGATGATGGGGAGGAGCAACTTTGGAAAAGGGCTATTACTAGTGCCGGCGCGAGCGAGTATAGGATTAATAACAAGCAGGTCACGGCCGCGCAGTACAACGATGCGCTGGAGGAGGAGAATATCTTGATCAAGGCGAGGAATTTCTTGGTTTTTCAGGTGTGTTTTTCTGCCACTCTAAGTGTGCGCCGGGTTGACGTTGAATTTCAGGGCGATGTCGAAGCAATTGCCAGTCAATCCCCGAAGGATCTCACCAGGCTCATTGAGCAGATTAGCGGCTCGTTGGAATACAAGGCAGAGTACGAACGCCTCAAGATGGATCAGGAGAAGGCAGCGGAAACATCAAACTTTAACCTTAATCGTCGTCGTGGGATTAATGCCGAAATTAAGCAGTACCAGGAGCAGAAGAAGGAGGCGGAGAATTACCAGGCGAAGCAGGATGAGAAACACGAGGCGGTGGTAACTCATATCCTATGGAAGTTATTCCATTTTCAACGGAGTGTGGAGCTCAATAGGCAGGAGATTGAGCGTCATCAAGAGGAGCTTAAAGAATTTCGCCGCGCTCATGAGAAGTATTATGCGAAGCTTGAGGAAGCGAAGAGGGAGCAAGCTCAAGCGAGTAGAGCTGTGAGCAAGCAGGAGCGCGCTATCAAGCGAAAAGAGAAGGAGGTGGAGGAGAAGGAATCCTCGCTTGTTCCCATCGATGAGAAGATTAGTATTGCTGGGAAGAACTTGAAGAAGTACGAGTCTAGGATAAGAGATATTACGAGGGACCGGGATAGTCAGACGTCCGCGGTGTCGGGCTTGCAGAAGGAATTAACGGTTGTCGGAAAGGCGCAGGCTAAATTTGTGGAGGAGCAACGGAAGATTGCTGAAGAAACTGGGGCGGCATTATCCGACGCTGATTTGGCGGAATACAACAAGCTCCGTGAACGAGTTAATACAAAGGTCGCTGGAGAGCAGATTAAGATTGACAACTACAATCGCCAGCAAAAGACTGATGTTGAGACGGTCAACAGCTTGAGTAGCAAAGTTGAATCATCCCAATGGCAACTTAGCAAGATCGAAAGCGAAGTTGGGGACCTGCAGGAACGCAAAGGGCAGATGAAATCCGTCGTCGACCAGGTCGTCCAGGACATCGAGGCTAAGAAGCGGGAGTACAACGCTATGACTTCAGAAAGGCTTAGGAACGCCCAGAAGCATACCGAACTAGACGAGAAGCTCCAGGACTGCCTCAACAAACTTCTCGAAGCCGACGACGGCCGTAGACAATCTGAGCGTGAAATCAGGTTGAAGGAGACCATTTCCGCCCTAAAGCGTATATTTCCTGGCGTCAAGGGACGTATATCCGAATTGTGCAAGCCGCGAATGAAAAAATACGGTGAGGCTGTGAGCACCGTTCTCGGAAGGCACTTTGACGCCGTTGTCGTTGATAATGAGAAGACTGCCAAAGACTCCATCGAATACCTCCGAGATCAACGAGCCGGCCAAGCAACCTTCATCCCTCTGGACACAATTCAGGTGAAGCCTTTGAACTCCAACTTGAAAGGTATGCACAGAGGTATGCGAATGGCCATTGACACCATTGAATTCGATAATTCTGTGGAGAGGGCTATGCAGTATGCTTGTGGGAACGCGGTCGTCTGTGATGATCTCGCGGTGGCGAAGTATATCTGCTACGATAAGGGTCTTGAAGTTAAAGCTGTTACGCTTGATGGGACGGTTATTCACAAGGGTGGTTTAATGACTGGTGGGCGGAGTGGGAACTCCGCTGGGAGACGGTGGGAGGATCAGGAGGTGGAGAATTTGCGCAGACTGAAGGATAATTTGATCGCACAACTTAATGCTCTTCCCAAGGCTCGGCGGGGTGCGCAGGAGGAGATGTTACAGGGGGAGTTATATGGGCTTGAGCAGAAGCTCGCTTATAATCGGGATGAATTAGTAAGTCTTCCATCTAACTCTATACGTGGGGTGACGCTGATTAGTTTGATTGCAGAAACTCTTGCAGCGGAGCCTCGATAGTAAGAAAAAGGAGGCCGCTCATCTTGAACGTCAATTGAAGGAGCTCCAACCGCAACTTGATGAGGCTACTGCGTCGCTAAATAATATCCGTGCCAAGGTGGAGGAGCTTGAGGTAGTTGTTTCCGGGGCGGAAGATGAGATCTTTTCGGAGTTTACCACCCGCCTGAACTATCCCAACATCCGTGAGTATGAGAAACGTCAAGGATCTCTACAACAGGAAGCCGCCCAGAAGAAGTTAGAGTTCACCACACAAATCTCAAAGCTGGAGAATCAGCTGGCTTTTGAATCCCAGCGACTAAAGCAGACCACCGAGAGAATAGGCAATCTTGAGAAGAATGCCGAGAGAGACAGAGTCACTGTGGAAGAACTTGAAGCCGAAAAGGCGCAGATTCAGGAGCAGATGGATGTTGTAATGGCCGAGGTGGAAGTCTTGCGCGAGGAGCTGGGATCGAGAAGAACTGAGCTCGAGACGCGGAGCGAGAAGGTCAACGGACTGCGGAGGGAGGTTTCCAAACGAAGTAAAGACGTCGAGGACACCACAAAACTGATTTCTGGTCTGGAAGGAGAAATTGAGAGAAATTCTGCGGGTCGATACGCAATCCTTAGAAGGTGTAAACTGGAGGAGATTGAGATACCGCTGGCCGAAGATTCCGCGCCACTGGACAACTTGCCCATCGACGACACTCTGCAGGGCGATCCTGATGCGATGGACGTGGATGAGGACGAGGATCCTAGTTCTAGTGCTGTCCAGAAGGTTCAGATACAGGATTATGGCATCGAGGTGGACTTTGAGGATCTCGACGACGATCTCAAAGAGGTACGTATCCGCCCTGATCACTCGTCGATCGCTCGTCGGAAATGGACTAACCAGATTTTGTTTTAGAGCGGCGACGAGAGGGTGGAAGAAGAACTCCTCGACAAGATCAAAACCCTTAGCGCCGAACTCGACCGCATGGCGCCCAATATGAAAGCCATCGAGCGCCTGGAGGGCGTTGAATCCCGCCTGCACGAGACGGACAAGGACTTTGAAAACTCCCGTCGCGAGGCGAAAAAAGCCAAAGACCGCTTCCAAGCTGTCAAGGACAAGCGGTCCCGGCTCTTTAACAAAGCTCTCGAGCATATATCCTCCCAGATTGCGGGTGTGTACAAGGACCTGACCAAATCTTCCATCTTCCCCCTGGGCGGGAATGCGTACCTCGACGCGGAGGACATCGAGGAGCCCTACCTTGACGGGATAAAATACCATGCCATGCCACCCATGAAGCGGTTCAGGGACATGGAGCATCTCTCCGGTGGAGAGAAGACTATGGCGGCGCTCGCCCTACTATTCGCTGTGCATTCGTTCCAGCCGTCACCCTTCTTTGTCTTGGACGAGGTGGATGCTGCACTCGACAACGCCAACGTGCAGAAGATTTCGAATTACATTCGCAGTCACTCCGGACCCGGGTTTCAGTTTATTGTCATCAGTTTGAAGACTGGCTTATTTCAGCGGAGTGAGACGCTTGTCGGGATTTTTAGGGATCAGGTGGAGTGTAGTTCCAAGAGTCTGACGTATGTTCGCTCCAACGTTCTCCATTATTAGTGTGCGTGTGCTAATTTGGCTGGGTGGGCAGGATCGATTTAAGGAAATACCAAAAGGATCCAGAGGTTGAGAAGATGTTTGCTTAGACCTAATTTTCTTATTCGTTTTCGATGCCCAAGGCAGTTTGTCGGTTAGATTCTGGGTTAAGGCGGTGTTTGTTAAGTAGGTATACTCGGAATACCATTAGTCCCATCTTGTCTCGGTTTTTCTTTTACCTACCCACTCTTATGTTTCTATTCTATTCTGTTCTATTCTGTCCTCCTTATTTTCGCTGGTTCTCACCTTTTTTGTGCTCCCGCCGGCAAACTGGCGATGTGTATGGTAGGGTGTTTGGCATCCGCGGGCTGCCTGCCCACTTCCGATCAACCAGTGACCTGATTGAACGAACGGACTCGCAATTGAACCGTGATGCGCTGTATCAACTGTAGCTTGGAATGAATACATGGGTTATGTTTATCCTCCCTGTTCTTGGGGTGCTGTAGTACATGTGGTGTCATAGGTGTGACAAGCCTTTATCTACCTCGAACCGTTTAGAGTAACTCTGCGCTGCATAGATGCGGTGCCCCGACAGAGGTCATCGTCACCTGCCCATTTTACAGCAGAAATGGCCATTTCCGTAACCGTGCGACAAAACCGTGACCACCTGTTAGTTATATACCGGCGCAGGGTATCCGTCGGCGGTATATATACAAGCTTCGCAGGGCCCAAATTTTAGTGGAATCAGGTGTACCCCGCATTGTTCGGTCCGGGATGACGAGGATTCCTAAAACAGGTACCTTATTTAGGAGGGCCGACACAAATTTCGGGGCTTGCCACAACCCTCTCGGCACATCCGGCTTCTCTTGCTTGTATCATACGAGTGCTGATTTGCAGTTAACCGAAGCTAAAGAGACGTATACAATATCCGAGTTGCTGGCTATACCTACAGCTGCACCCTTCGTAATAATTATCGTTGGAGTTCTTGGGTGCTGCTGTTTTGGCTGGGGTTAGATTTTGCTGATTTTGGTCGTGCCCTCACCGGTACTTAGCCAGGAGGGATGATGCCTTTGTGTCCGAGAACTATACATATTTAATTTTATTCGGTAACCGCGAACTCGAACCGAATCTCCGTCCCCGTCCCGGAAACCCACGATGCATTAACAGGAGAGATGCTTAGTGAGGTCTCATAACAGGCGGTAATTTGGGCATGTACCCACCACCTCTACTGTAGGTGTGAGTATGATACCATCTCCCGCCCTGTCAGGGTTTCTTTTCTTTTCTCTTTTTCCTTCGATCTGGACTTAGCGTGCTACGCGAATACACCAGGGGCGTGAGTGTGGTGACTAACCCGGGGCTGTCGGCTGTGTGTGCTTACCTCGCCCCACAATTCCCTGCGTGGATGGTACCCAGCACTAGGATTAAGTACCCGATCACACTACCGGGGGAACTTTATCCTGCGGTCTTGATGCGTCCCTTCCTTCCTTCCTACCATAGGTAGTGTCGGCGCACGTTTAAAACACGATAAGCTCCCGGTTTGGTCCTCCTTCACCCGGTACTTGCTGCCACCCCTACCGTGGGTGATGCTTGTTGGTGCTATCATACCCGCGGGCATAACGAGGGTTCGGTGGTTGGCTCATTTTCGTACCCTCCTAACCACAACACCCGGGGGTGCAATTTGCTGGTCATGGGGTATCACTCGGTGAGCGTTTGTCGAGCTGTGGGGATTTTTTTATATGGAGCTGATTGGGTTCTCTGAGGGGGGAGGAGGAGGATCGCTGGCGGGGTAGAGGATATGGGGTGGGGAGGGCGGTGCGTCGTAGTATCTGTGTGATACTTTGCTAGGAACTGGGACTTTGTTAAGATTCCTGTTGGCTTGTTAGGCGCGGATAGGATGGGGGCGCGGTGAGGGGGGGCAAGGTGATCTGAGTATCGAATCAGGCCCGGACCCTAGCCAGAATGTGATCGCGCTGGTTGATACATACATACCTCTCTAGATTGCAAGTAGTGTATTGGGTTTCCCATACAGGATCGGGTGATAGCTCCTCCTGCGACATTGGGGATTAATTCACCTGGACTTGGCGTGCCAAGAGCCGGAGAGACTTCAGCATGTCGACCACCAACCCCCCCCCCCCCCGGGAGCCTTAATAATACTTTTTCTGACGAGATACCCTTACCTCCCCACCTTGTATCATGGGTTATCACCCGCCCTCTGTGGGCCAGTTTGCCATTTTCCAATCTAGCGAATATTGCTGGTTAAGCTCTAGGAATTGAATGTGGAGGCTTGTGTACCCATGCGAGGGATACACTGGTGGACATTTATTCGTTGCAGGAAGCAGAGTGGAGAAGGGTTTGCCCCGGAGCACGGCGCTGGCCTGTGCCGGGTGTGTGTTATTGGGTTTGCGTGTACGACATAGCAGATAGGTGGATCGTAAGTCCAAGTTGGTATAGAGGCGAGGGTGTATCATGGATCCAGAGAGCTTCCTCAGAACCCTCCCCGGACTTAAGTAAGTCTTAGTGCAGTAGCGTTAGATGTTGTGATAGGGCTGCATGTATAGTGCCACCCCCAAAATCTAACTTGGGCGGCACAACTGCCGATGTATTTGCCCATTTGTGTGGCTGTATCGGAGGGGGGGACCGCCCAGGAGAAAGAAGGAAAGGGCGAAATTTCGGGACATGTGAGCACAAGTTAAACCTGTGTCCGGGGGATAACTTAACACCTATTCTAAGTCTTCACGCGAGAAGGGTGGGGAGGGGGTACCACCACCCCCTCAAGCTCGTCAAACCTCGCATTCCTAGAAATCTTAGGCCACCTCGTCCCACGTCCCAAATTTGCTTTGCGGAGCCTGGGTTTATTTTTAAAGATTTCCTGCCCCTGGTTCGCGGGGTTCTATGTGGGTTTTCCAGTTCTATACACTTATGTTCCCGGAACTCGATCCACTCTTTGAATTTTCAAGCTAGTCCTCGTGGAGCTTGGACTTCATTTTCTGGTTAATTTAATTGCTTTGAAGCGCCCTTAATATCCTTTCAAGTGGGATTTCGGTGGGTTCATCAGACATTATGACTGAGTAACCCGTTCTTGTTTCGGGCTAGCTTTGTAGGGGTGTAACTGGTGGATGGGGTGTCTCTTTCAGATTGTAGGCAGAGGTGGAGGTATGTGAAGGTTGCTGTAAGAGGTGAATTGACCAGGATGCAGGGGAGTGGTTAGGGAGGGGGTGTAGGGTTTGTATTCACAGTGCGGGGATATTTGCTGATAGCAAATTTTGTTTTTCTGTCGGGGGAGTTCCTGGCTACTATAGAGGGGTTGCCGGATTCTAAAGAAAGGTGGAGGAAACCACCTAGCTATTGTGCTGTGTGATGGAGAGTGGAATTGGTTGGGTTTGGAAAGGAAACAAGATTGCTAGATGTTGCACGTACAGCACATGCGTGATATGAATTGCCAAGTGTATTGTAATGTCCAAGGGGCACTGTATTATACAAGATTTACGATAAACATCACCAGAATTCTTTGCAAGCGTGGTATTGTAGCTATGATGCCTCACTTCAGTGCTCACGCAGGGCTAGTTAGGTATCGGCTACTGAGGCATTCAATGCGCTATTGGACCCCCCCCCCCCTCTCCCTAGATACTTGTAGCATCTGATGCTTTAACATTAGACATTGTGACTAACTTACATCGACGCACCCCACATTTCAAACCCCCCCGAGAGAGGTCCACTAACACTCATTGCTCTCCGCTCCCCATCCCCATAAGTCTTCCCCTGACACTACCGTCCTCTATCCCCTTGCATTTACGTTTCGAGAATACTGCACGACACTCATCCCTACTAAGGACCTAGGGCCTTCTTCGACCCCTCCACTCTTGAATAACTCTACTTGCCTCATCTTCGCTTTTTCTATGTTGCTTCATATAATGAAATTTGAAATTATCAACCCTAGTGAATGCTTGGGTAAACATACAGCCCTTCTCTGGACAAGTCGGTCCCATGGGGGTGTTATGGCAGCTGGATGTCGCTATGTGCCTCTCGAGGTCAGCCTGGACTCTGCAAGCTACCCCGCAGTCAATGCACTTGTAGCTGCGTGGGCGCAAGTGATCGGCTACGGGGCCTCGTACCTCATTGTGGTGCGTGAGTTGGTTAGGAGGAAGGGGGGAAGATGCGGGATTGCCGATTGTATGATTGGGGTAAAACTCCAGGCTTTGGGGACCATTTGCTAGTTGTTCCTGTCCAACAGAATATTGTGGATAATGGAGACCATGGACCAAGTATCTGCAAGCTTGGTCGACAGCGTATCCGGGGGTTGGGTTGGAAGAGGTGGTTTGGCAGTTTAGTGAAGCGGGACTGGATCCGGTAGTGTTAAATTGGCTGGGAGAGGCTGGTTGTGGTATATCGGTGTGGTAGATTGGATACAGGTATTGTTGAAATGTGTACGGTACGGCACTATCTTAATAACTTTGTACGAAAAATACGACATAGTAGAGAGTATACCACGGGCACGTTAAGTGAGGAGGAGTTTTGGTATGAAGGTAGATTGGTAGTAGTTCTTTTCCTTGATCTCTTTAAGTGAGATGGATGGTAGCGCCTATTTATACAGGTGTGCATCCTTCAAGTAACTTAAGAGGAAATATAAGGGAAAACAAAGTATTGATGTGTTTTGATGGCGAGACACGGCGCAGTGGAGGAAGGACAATAGAATCACGGGGTGGATGAAGACCGAAGGTGAGGAGAGAGGAGTCGTTCTTGTCGTCAATCGGAAGGTCCGAGAGAAGACTAAATACAAACCAGAGAGGAAGCCACCACTAACAGGGCTGGTTCCCCTAACAACATACAATATAGTCACACAAACTAAGTAGGGACCCATAGCCCTAATACATACACCCATGCTCCCCCATACATATCATCAGCACTATACAGTCTTCCCCATATCCAGCTATTGGGATCATACCATCACTCCCCCTGATCCCATATAGCCTCTGTCTATGACAGTACAATAAAAACATATACATGCTTGTAAACCAACTTTTCAATAAGAAAGAAACAACATTTTAACAAAATTCTCATGCTTGATACGCTCAAGACCCTTGGTCAAGCCATCAGCTATCATCTTATCTGTTCGCACATAAGAAATCTCAGCTGCTCCTCCCTTAACCAACTCTCTTAGCCAGAAATATTTCACACCGACATGTCGGGTAGAGGCCTTGAACTGGCCATTCTTCAGACTCACAATGTAAGCCTGATTATCATTGAAAACAAACACTTTCAACTCATCATCCTTCATCTCCTTTCTCCAAAGTTCCGCCTGAATCTTCCCTAGCCAAATGCCTTCTTTAACTGCTAGCGCTGTAGCATTAAATTCAGCATCAGCCGTTGACTTGGCTACCGTTTTCTGCCTCTGCGATTTCCAATGAACCAATGCTCCATAACAGTCCAACACAACAAATCCTGTAGTGGATCTCATTCCATCAACCTCTCCAGCGAAATC